ATTAACTGTAATTATTTTTAACATTAAATTAAACTAAAATTTAAATAATTTAAATAATCCTAGCAAATTTAAGATGGCGACAACCATAAATCATATGGCCCAAAGTCCTAAACCCACGCCAACTGTTTCGGACTTTGAAGACTCGCCTCAAAGGACAGACTCACCTCAAATGACCGAAGACCCACGCCAAATTCTAGTGCCAATCCTAATCCAAGTCCACAGAAAATCCACGTCCCAAGTCCTACCACAGAAGACCTAATACCATTCTGGCTAAGGTCGCCCCTCCTTTTGTTTTTTTTCCCTTTGAAAATTCGCAAAGGATTCCGGCCAGGGTTCTGACACCGTTTAAAGCGTTAAAGGTGATTAAAAATTACAAAATATTATTTTTAAAAATATTAATTTTATTTTATTTAATTGATAAAAATTATTAATAATTATAACTAATAATTATAACTATTAATTAGTTATAAAAAATTATGATTATTAGTTAATAATTAACAAAATAGTCTATGTTTATTAATTATAAATTAAAATAAATTAATAAATTAATATTTTTTAATAATATTTAAAAAAATTAAAAAATCATCACACTTGACAGTAAGTATCCAAAATCATATGCTTAGCATTGAGCATGTCTTTTCCTGCGTGTTAATAGAATTTTGAATGGTTAGATTTGCACTCTGCACGTCAAGTGCAGTAGAAGCGATTATTAAGCTGCTGGTCTTGATTTGATGGTTGTACGGAAGGACTGAGTTGTTTCCCAGTTGATTCTGTTGTGTAATTGAACCATTTAGAGTTTTAGATAGGAGTAACTTTGAATATCTGTTGTATGTCTCTGGTTCAATTATTTTACGACCATGCATATTCCCTAGTCTTAAAATTGCATGCCAAATGGAACTATGCAAGGAACTAACAGTAGAGCTCTATCTTTGTCTAGTCGCCTGGCTTGCCTTAGAATCTGTATTTTCGAGGTTTTTGTTTCAGCTCGTTTAATTTTAGTGCATTGAATCTTGCCCTGTGTACAGATGTTGCCTGCAATGGTCCATCTGGTATAAGAGCAGTTGTAAAATCTTGTGAGAGAAAAGACGTTGCAAAGGAGTTTCTTGAGCGCTCTAAAGAGTATCGAAGGTTAGCATTTCCTTAGCCGTCTGCACTTTTTCTTAATGCCATCTTGAGTGATATTCTTTAAGCACCATTTTCATTCGGAGTCTTGTTAATGTAGGCGGATGCAAGAACAGAGGCAGCAGCAAAGAAGCTTCTGGCGTCGTTGAGGGCAGAGTTAGTGTATAGTTCTGGAATTTATGTTCTTTCTAGGAGGATGAAACAGACGATCTATGACATTACTGTAGGCATTTCCAAGCTTGCTTTTGCCAAACAAAAGTCTTTCTTTGTAATGGAGATCATACATTTTTGGGATTGCATTTTTGACTGAATCATTCAAATGGTTGACAAAATTTGTAAATTTTTTTTTGGCTGCAGCTAGGTTTTGCAGCCCAACAACTATAAATTAAGTTGAAAGGTGTATTTTTTAAGTGAAGGATTAGAGTTTTGAATCTCCTTACTTCAAATGTAAATTTATTCAAAAAAAATTGTAATTTTGGTTGAATATATATTGATCAAAGTTGACGGAATTCAAAAATCAAATAAATAAAGTACACGGAGGACTCCAAGTCCCCAATCCCCACGTCCAAATGATCCAAAAGCACGTCAAATCACGACTTTGAAGACCCACCTTAAATGAACTAAGGGAGATATATTTGATAAACTTCTTACTTTCGCCAAAGAAAAGCTTCGGGTTATTTTATTAAGTGATTGTCTATTTGTTGTCCACACAATTTATAGCGATTTATTTTTTAATTCTTCACCAGTACTTCAGACTGGAAAAACAGACTTTTTTTTTATACACAAAAGAATTAATTAATAGGGAATAAACCACTTGTCCTGTCAATTCCTCCTCGTATTTATCCACAATAGAAGATATGAGAGATTCAACTGTAGTGCCACAAATTGTGAAAATTGGGAGGATGTTTGTTAAGTTTTATCTATTATTTATAGTTATTAGTCTTATCTTTGGGGTTATATCTCTACAGGATTGGCTTGAAGAAGAGCTGTGCAATCAATGGAAAATTCTCAAGGTTTATTGCCAAGTAGCGATGAGAGCTTTGCTAGATTTAGGGGTGGCAAAAATTCACCCGATCTGTCAATCTGACTCTAATCCGACCCATAAAAATGGGTTAAGATTTACATATTTCAACCCACAACCCGTAGATAACTCATATTATCAACCTATATGGATCTCGGGTTAAGTTAGGGTCAACCCGCAGGTTGACGAATTGACCCGTTTATTTTATTTATTATTATTATTTTTAAAAATATTATAATTATTATTCTTAATTAATTTTCCTATTAGTAATTCCTTTCATTAATTCATACTCCCTATTTTCTAAAGAAAGAAGAAGAAATTATGATGAGTTTAATCTAATTATCCAAGTATCATTTTTTTTTTTTTTGGTATTAACACATTACCCAAGTATCATGAATGAAATGATAATGTAACTAAAAATATTAAGAGATGTAATGCTAGAGCATAAACATAATAATTTAGTGAAAGATGTTTTTGGAAAAGCAATTTCATCATTAAAAAAATGGCTTAAACTATTTGATAATGTTTCAAGATGATTATAAAATTAAAACTTTATTTTCCAAGAAATTTAAATATTTTACATTTAATATTGTTATTGTTAATCAACTTATTATTATTTGTAATGTTATGATTTTTTTCTTAATTTAAATGTTTGTGGTTGAGATTATAAAGTATTTAGTGTTAATGAATCACAATACTTTAATTAGATTTAGATATATATAATTTTATTTGTATATAATAAAATTAATAAAAAATAATTATAAATGATGAAAATAAGGTCAACTCGTAAGTTAACCCGTAACCCGTAACCCGTTAGGGTCGGGTTAAGGTTAGATTTTTTCAACCCGTAACCCGTTTATGACCCAACCCATATAACTCATCACCCAAGTTGACCCAACCTGAACCCGACCCAACCCGCCTGTTTGCCAAGTCTAGCTAGGTCCGATTAATGAGAAGATGAAGAATTTATCTGAAGTCCTCCAAATGCATCTCAACAATGAAGTGACAAAGGGTCAACTAAAAGCCAAGCTGATCGGTAAGCTTGCCCTCTTCTTTGCCACATTTCTCTTGCTGAGTACAGATTTTAATTCAAAATCTGATAAAAGAAGGGCCAAAACACTATTATTGTTGCATGTTGCTCTTGACCTGCTAAATCGTTCGAACCTTTAGAGTCAACTCAAAATTCTATATGGAAGGTGTAGTTGCACAATAAATTCAACATCAAACTTCACCTTCTTTATTTTAGCACTTGTTTTTGCAAGATTTTACGATAATTCATTAAGGAGCCTCATTGCTGTGTTGTGCATTGCAATTTTTCTTCTATGTTGGTAAAATTACTTCAGTTTGACTTTTATGAATTTATAATTGAGTTAGCATTTAGAGGTTTTTTCTTCTGATGTATTGCTGTACCAACAACCAATGACTGTCTTAAGTCATAATCCCCTGGGTCCAGGCCAACCCTTCACGGCAAAGCTATAGACCAAGACCACAATACTAAAGCCCAAAGTCTTCCCAGCTAAAATCAAACAAGAAGAAAA